GTGCTCCAATGTGGGTCTCTGTCTCTGTCTCCTTTCATCGCCTGATGAAGGTTAATATTCAGGAGGATGCCTATATGTTTTTCTTTGGGTTTTCCTTCTTATTTAGCTTCTCTAAGAACCCGAATTATAGGCTCAATGTCCTTTATTTATGGCTAGACACAACTTAATTTTGTGAGCATCTAAGGCAGGAATAATAGATTTCCCCATGAATCTACATGGGCTGGCCACACACTCCTCAGGGTGTCATTTTATGAGGCAACAGGAGAGACTGGGGGAGGGGAAAGACTCAGAGACATTCTGCAAACCTATGCTAGGTGAGTTTGAAGATATACAGAAGAAAGGAGAAAAAGGTGGCAGGCAGGATGTGTAAGAGTAAGCACTGCCCATGGAGCTCACGTCTGATGATCACACGACCACCCCAGGGTGTGATGCTATCAACAAATTCTTAAAAGCAAAATAGAAAATGTAAAAACAATTTCTTTAAAAAAATTATCGTCAGTGTTTTAAGTGGCGAGTATCTACAGGAATGAAAACTGTTCAGCTCCAGTCTGTGGCTGCGCTGGCTAAAGGGTGGGCAGGAACCAAGCACTGTCCTGACCACCCGTGATAGCGGTCAGTCACGTCATAATGCACGCTGTGGCAAACATGGCTTCTTGAACTCGAGTTGAAGAGAAGAGCGCAGGATACATGAAGGACTTTATTTGCTCTTATTTATGTGAAAAAATTCTTGGGATTGAATTGCCCGTCCGCACAGGGCCAACCCTAAACTGTGGTTGACAGGAGTGTAAACCCTCAGAGCTGTTAAATTCTCGCTGTAGTTGTAGCTCAAGGGAGATCCCACTCACACCAATAGTTGCAAGCTCATTTTTGCAAAAATATGTCACCAAATATGGGTACCACTTTTAAACAACAGTATCAGAGATATATGGAGCTAAGTGTACTGAAGGCTGGAAATTCTCTTCTAATGAGCAACACAAAAGATCCAGGACAACTTTCCAGAGGAGAGGGATTTGAAACCAATCTTAAAATAATAACCCAGAGTAGCCTCACATTTGTAGCAATCTTGCCTCATTTTCCCAATTGCTGGAATTACAAGCACTGTGCTCCTGGCATAATCCTGGATAACAGTGCCCAGTGTGGATAAAGCTAAGGAAGCATGGGGGTGCTTTTAAAACACTTACGGAGCTTTTATGAAAACCTAGGCCTGTTCTGGTTTGCAAGACCTGCAGTGGAGTTAAAGGCAAAGGTTTGAATATGATTCCCAAGCTGTCATTCATTAGAAACAGATTTAGGAAAGTATACCTAGTTTTTCCATGACATGCTTCAAGAGCTGGACTATGCAATATCATCTCTGGTCCAATTTGTCCTTTCAACTAGAGCGCGCTCTCTCTCTCTGGTTTTTCGAGACAGGGTTTCTCTGTATAGTTTTGGTGCCTGTCCTGCTTTCCTGGACCTAGCTCTTGTAGACCTGGCTGGCCTTGAACTCACAGAGATACACCTGCCTCTGTCTCCCCGTGTGCTGGAATTTAAGGTGTGCACCACCACCTCCTGGCTCTGTTCTCTTCTTAAGAGCCTGGGTGTGCCCGTGTGGCTGGTTTGACTTAAAGACTAGGTATAGTAGAATAGGTATGACTCCCAAAGCTAAGTTATAGCGCCATCTGCCTTTCCTTCTGCTCTTGTTGTTGGAGCCAGGGCCATCATTTAGGGAAGGCCAGACATCCCAATGCTGCCACAGAGGGGCATGTAGGGGAGAACATTTGAGGACAGATGTTCCAGGCACTCCAGGTACTGTTTGATGAAACTACAAGAGATACCTCGAGAGGCCTGGAGCCAGAAGAGACAATGGTGAAATAGAGCCAATGGGAGTAAGCATGTCTAAAAAGTCAAATGGGACATTCTCTGAGCATTATTCAGAGAGATTGTGATACTGACTCGAGGGGTCTGTGACGATTAAATATGATGTCATGTACCATGGTTTCCCATGCTCATCGTTCCTACTCCGTAGGATGGACCTGACACCAGAAGTCACAGAAAGCAAATGCTGGTTCACACGGAAAGGTCATTTTAACACTTAGAATTCTCTAAAAGGACATGAACTACTCGATAAAGTGTATGTATCCCAAGGGCTGAGGATGCTCAGGCTCTATGCCCAAATGTGAGGAATGTCCCTCCAGCAGAGCTGTAAGTGGATAGGACTCACTTCCCAGTAGGTGGATCTGTCATCAGTGTTCAAAGCTAAAATCTTGACCTTTCTCTGTAGGTGCACATATAATTAGCCTAATATATCTTTTAAACTTTAGATACTATTTATAAGAAGAAAATAATAAAAACAAATAAAATTGATTAAATATTTTACAATAGTAAGAACTAGAGAAATGGCTTAGTGGTTAAGAGCACTTTCTGCTTTTGCAGGGGATTCAGGTTTGGTTCCCAGCACTCTCGGAGTGGTTTACAACCATCTGTGAATCCAGTTCCAGGAATCCAATGCCCTCTTTTCACCACCAAGGGTATCACACACATGGTACACACACATACGTGTAGACAACACATGCATACACATAAATAAATCTAACACCTCCTTAGCAATAATAACCTGTGGGATTCCATAGAAAATTCATGTGGCATGCATTTAAGGCATATCAAAATATATTTTGGGGCTAAAGAGATGGCTCAGTGATTAAGAGCATGTACTGCTTGCTCTTCCAGAAAACTTGGGTTTCGTTTCCAGCACCCACACCAGGCAGTTCACAACTGTAGCTTCAATCCCAGGAATCCAACATCCTTTTCTGGCCACCTCAGGCACCACACACACACACACATGCATGCATGCACACAACCACACACACAAGTAAGTAAAAATATTTGAAAAACATTATAAAAATATTGTTTGAAAAACATAATAAAATATCTTTTAGTCCACTTTGAGTATTTCTTCAAGACTTTAACTCATCTGCTAAAGCATCTAAAGTCCCATCCTTCAATAGAAACCAAATCAGGTCAACGTATAACTGGGGGGGCCTTGCAGCCTGTACCTTGACACGTGCTCTATGGCATCCTGGAAGAACACCAGCTTGACTTCCTTAGAGTTTGTGAGGTTATAGTCATCAAGATAGTCCTGCAGGACATTCCCAATTTTCTCCATGTCAGGCAGATCATCATAGATGCGGTCAGACTTATCTGCTCCAAACTGTAAGACATTTTAGGGGGACACACCAAGCTGGATTAACTACCTTACATAGGCATATGTCACCCACAATCTGGAAAATTCACTTCACCCTTTCACGTGGTAGGTTGTAATGCCAAGGATTTTTGCAATAAGGAGTTTGGAATCACCTTAATTTTCTTTGTGCAATCCAATGCTTTGGTTCACACTTTACTCTTGGTTGTTGACATTCGAAAAAGGAACTGAGAGTATGTGTGGCAGATTGCTATCTCTAGGAATGCTCATTCCTGGACTGTATGGAGTTTGGTGCTGCTGTTTGTTTTTTGACTATAGTGGTCACCTAGAACTACATAATGTTGAGAATAAAAATCAGGTGTAAATGAAAAGGAATCGAGTTCTTTGGACCAAATGAGGATGCTTTTTTTTGTGCTGTAGCAGTTTCGGGAAGCAGATAATAAAATGTATCTGGGCAAAGTTAAGAGAGTTCTGCTCACACACGTTAGGCAAATGGTCTACAACTTTGTCAAGCCTTCAACTCAGGTCTGGTTCATCTATTTTACTTTAATCTCTCTCTCTCCCTCTCTCTCTCCCTCTCTCTCTCTCTCTCTCTCTCTCTCTCTCGAGAGAGAGAGAGAGCGAGCGAGCGAGCATGAGTGCATATTTTATTGTGGAGGTCAGAGGGCAACCGTGGATAGTATCTGTCACTAGAAGCCTTCCATTTTTTGTCTTGTTTTATTTGCTTGGAACTTTGCAAAATAGGCCAGGCTAGTTGGCCTGTGGTTTCCAGGGATCCCCATTTCTTCCTCTCATCTCTCTATTACTAGGATTATAAGTGTATGTTGTTGCGCCTGGATTTTTACACGGAAGTCTGGGGATCCAAACTCATGTCTTCGTGCAGGCACTTTACTGACTCATCCATCTCCCCAGGCCTGTCTTTATTCTTTCATTTGATAATCCTATCACTAAAAAGCAAAGCAAATGTAATTTGTGAAAGCAAATCCTTGGGCTTTATTTATTTTTACTTACTTGGTTGTATTTAAGCTAGTCTTTCTTTCCCTTTAGAAATGTTGGTAATTTCAAATATGCATACAATATATTCAGATCAAGTCCATCTTCCCCTCAACCCCCCTAAAACGTCCCTCTACATCTCCCCTCCTAGTTCATGTTGTCTTACGTTTTTAAAAGAATTAATTGATTGGTTGAGTTTTATAACCCCAAGTCCAGTCAGTACCATCTGTATGTGCATGGGTGTAGGCCTACCCACTGAAGCATGGGCAACTAATCTATTTGGGCCACATCCCTGAGGAAAACGGATTCCCCCTGCTCCAGCAGCCACTAATTGCTGATAGCACCTTAGCTAGGGGTGTGGGTACCCATGAGGAATATTGACTCCTTTAACTCTGTACAGGATTTACATAGGCATCTATGGCTGCCGGACCTTAAGTTTTAATGATAAGTTTAAATAAGGTATATTTTGCAAAAATAAATGATTTTTCCCCCCGTCAGGTGGTAATACCCATCTGGAGTGTAGCCTTGCATACAGCTTATAGAAGAACCAGTTTATTTATTATCAAATTATTAGCTTGGATTGGCTGCTATGTACCTTGCTCCATGTGTGAGGCTGAGACTTAGGTGAACAAAGAAAAAGGGGGGGGGTTGGCCTTGAGACATCAAGAATGTGTTCTCAAGTACGAGTCAGTTTGTGGAAGCAGATGGTAGTTTGCTATGTAGGTGGCATGGAGTTGGGTAGAGATGGGGATTCGTTCTAGGAAGGTTCAGAGGGTAAAATTAGGACCGTGTGCTGACATTTTAGAAAGATGGAAGAACATAATAAATAAATATTAAAAAGAGTTAAAACTTAAAAAAAAAAGAAAGATGGAAGAGAAGTATACATGATATAAAAAGTAGTTAAATAGAAGAATACTAGCTAGAGTATCTTGAAATGAAGAGGGTTAGTGAGGAGTTCTGGAAGCCTTTGATCAGAGGTTTGATCAAGGGTTGCACAGCTACGTAGAGTATGGGATCCTGGGCCTGCATAAGGGCACGGAACCCCTTTGCCTCCTTTTAATAGTGGTTTGAGCTATCACCAAAATAAATGTAACATTTGCTGCAAAAGGGCAGAGAGTAAATGTTTTTGGTGTTGCAGGTCACCCATCTTTGCCTCCACTGCTGTACTCAGCTATCACTGGACAAAGGTGGCCGTACAGTTGCACACAAAAGAGTGAGTGCAGCTGCATTTAACTAGACCTTGTTTATAAAAACAAGGTAGCAGGCAGATGCGGCTCATGGGCCTGGAGCTTGCCCACACTCGGCTTAGATGTTTAATCTTCACAAACGCAAAATCCTTGTGCACATGAACTGGACTTAGAAAACAGCAAATGCTGTCATACCTTTGAGCTGAGCTAGGCAGCAGCTGCTCACCTTAATGAAATCCCCAAAGATGATAGGCCTGTTTAGAAAATATTCCAGGTCAATCGCTATTCCAAAGTGCTTGTCTGTTAAAACACAAAAGCAGCTTTACTATGGGAATCAGCTTGGATGTAGTATTTTAATAAGATTGGCAGAATAATATCTGCAGTTGATAGGAAAACTGAGAGAGAGCTATGCCAACAACATGCTATTTCAGCTGGTTGGAAAATCCCCCAGATTTAAGATTATTTAGCAAGTATTTAAAAACTTTTAAATAGCTAATATTGAAGACTTATTGAAGGATATTTTAGAATTACAGTCATTTCTTTTCATTTTAATCTATCTTTTTAAAAAATTAAAGATTTTTTTTTGAGACAGGGTCTCATATTATAGCCAAGGCTCCCTTTAAATTCTTGGCACTCCTCTTGCTGGAGCCTCCTGGGTGCTTAGATTATGGAAATGAGATATCACACCAGATACAAATGTTTTTTTAGTTATTCTGTAAAATAATGGGCTTCATTATACTGCTTTGATAGATACAGGTTATTGTTTTTGTTTGTATTGTACCTTCTTCTCCCCCTTTCCTTCTAGTCCTTTTCCCCTAACTAATCCTATCTGTGTTCATGACACATACGTGTGACTCATGTATCACGTGGATCTGCTGAGAAAGACATAGTTATATCTAGAGTCCCCATGATAGAAGACGTGATATTTATCTTTCTGTTCACCCACGCCCCTCTCTCGTTCCCACTCATACCATCCCAGACTGCTTTATCCCTACACTTTTCCCCTCTGCTGAAGCTCTCATCAATATTCTCTGTCTATCCTTTGTATGAGAGGAAACATTTTATCTTGGCTTCCTATTAGATAACATTCTATTCCTCCATTTTCCTGCCTCCACTTCTAATTTCATAGCTGAGTAAGAGTACCAAACCTTTCTTTATTCTAGTAACTAATTTTCATAATATTTAAATATAATCAAGTTATCAAAAGTTTTACTTATGAATGACTAAAACTCAAACTCATTTAATTTCCCATGTAGAAACCAAATAACTTTCCTGTTTTTTTTTAAATAAAAGAAAAATAAATAAAGATATTTACTGGCCATTTCTGTCAAAATGACATGGAAGTAGTGCTTGTCTTCATTACTGATCAATCGATCATGGAACACTCGTTGGCATTCATGGCAAAACAGTCTAAATATTTGAATTTCTTCCCTTATTGTTCCTGGATCACATTGCAGAATACCTGTGCATTTTTTTTTAAGAAAAGAAAAGCAAAAAGGAAAATTTTGCATTTATGTAACTGCTTATAACAGTTGAATAAAGTAGGAGACACTTAAATCCAGCTGGGGATAGAAAGAAGTGGTGAGATTTGGGAGATATTTTGAAAGGGACATTGTGCAAGGCCCATGACTAGAGGAGATAATGGTAGTCCCCTCTGGGGCAGGAATACCCGTGGCCTGTGGTGGAGGGATGAAGCAAGAATCTACTTTGTGTGTGTGAGAGAGACAGGGTTTCCCTATGCAGCTCTGGTTGTCTTAGAACACACTTCATAGACCAGACTGGCCTAGAACACATAGAGATCTACCTACCTCTGCCTAACAAGTGCTGGAATTAAAGGCACGCATCAACACGTCTGGTTAAAATCTACTTTCAGTTCATAGCACTAAGTGCACACTTAAAGAAAATGGAGAAAGCATACATAGGGGACTTAACAGCACACCTGAAAGCTTTAGAAAAAAAAGAAGCAGATGTGCCCAGGAGGAGTAGAAGACTGGAAATAATCAAACTGAGGGCTGAAATCAACAAAACAGAAACACAGAAAACAGTCCAAAGAATCAATGAAACAAAAAGTTGGTTCTTGGAGAAAATCAACAAGATCAACAAACCCCTATCCAAACTAATTAAACAACAGAGAGAGAACACGCAAATAAATAAGATCAAAAGTGAAAAGGGGGACATAACCACAGACACAGAGGAAATTCAGAGAATCATTAGATCTTACTACAAAAGCCTGTATGCCACAAAACTGGAAAAT